TTGTTATAGCAGATGGAGTTAGAAAAGCCTACAGACAATTTTCTTTTGTTTTATTAAATCTCTATCTTTAAATAAGCATAGAAACATCTGGCATCTTTGATAACATCCTATAAGTTATTAAACAATTAAAAAATGCTAAAAATTCCCAAAAGAAGCATAAAAAAACTTGTGATTTCCTTCTAAAATGTGTAATGTAAAGTACAGCTTAAGCTTTGGGGTCTATCCTGCTCAACAGTGACCCAACATACTAAATTCCTTAGGCAAGAATAAATGTCATTTTTAACCAACCAAGAACTGGATATCATGTTCTAAAGCTATGGTTCACTTCCCTAATATTATAAGGAAGAATGTAAATTTCCCTCAAAACAATGTTTTAAATTATATTCCCACAACCCCAGCATAATGCCAGGTATAAGGGGTTAAATGAACACTGGATGCTTTATGAGAAAATTATCAGTCGTTTCTGCCATAAATTATTAGCAATCAAGAAATCATTATTCTTTTAGTTTGCTTGGCTCCTTTGGACCTTGGAGTTTTGCTACACTGAGTTGATTTTGTATCATTAAACATTAAACTCCCTTGACTAGTCGAGAGATCTTGTAGTTTGTGCTCTGCACCAGCAAGGTGGGATGTGTGTGTATTTTTCTCATTTGTTCACTCCATCACTAAATGGTAAATGCTGAGAATCTTAGGCACACGATATCTAAACTCTCTGCCAGAGGTGATCTTTGTTTTACACAGTGAAACAAATTAGTTTTTACACAACTAATGTGGCAACATAATTAAATGGGCATGACTTTTCCTCCTAATCATAATTTACAGGAACTTCAGATCACAGATAAAACTTATGGTAGTTATTGCCATCACTGTTACTCTTTCATTACTTAAACAGAAAACATATTTTTATCCCCTTTGAAATGCATCTTTTATGCAAAAAACACAAGAATTGACTGAAACATACACTTTAACATTACTTTATGTTTCCAGAATTGGAACTTATTCTCTCACATGCTCCATTAAGATGGTGACTGTTAGAGAAGTCTTTGTATATTCTCCTTGCATAATTAATATTCTAGTATACAGGTACACTTAATCGCAGACATTCTTTATTGAGACGAATGTAGGACAACTAGCTAACTTTTAAAAGTGTAAATATATAACCTGTGTCTGAGTATAGAAACAAGTTATAGAATGCCCACATCCTACAAAGACAGCCCTATCATAAAATGGAGTACTGTTGGGGAAGCTCAGCCATAATTGCACTCCAGAAAGTAAAAGACATTGTATTGCCTCCTCAGCAGAATTTCGCCTCCCTGTATATGAAAATCTGATAAATTGTCCAGTTTCCCGCAGAGGGAACGACAGAGAATTTAATGAGAAACACACTGGAACTGGACCTGTCACTGTGTGATTATGCATTCACTAATCTCTCTGTAGGGTACAGAAAAATGTCAGTCTTCTCTGAGAGAGTTTATCTAGGGAAAGGGAAAAACACATCTAGAAATAAATTACCAAAAAGAAATGTCTTTACTTTCCCACTGATACCTACTGGCATCCAACTAGACTGCTTGTTTGGCCTACAAATAGCAAAAGCATTGAGATTTGCATAGTAACCTATTTTTATGATTGCTAATGAAATCGAAGTGTCATATGATGACATGCATTGATACTTAAATGCAGCTGCAAGTGCCTGATATGTTTAGTTTGGTCTAAAAATTTGTGTTTGAGAACTTCAAGTACACGAGGAAGGGCAGTGAATGTTCTTACTTTTATTGTAGAAGATATTTTATATTTAACATGGGGTTCTCTTACTCATCATCATCATTTTTGTCCAGTAAATTTTATTCAGCACCTATATACATTGTAAAAGCATTTCTGAGCAACTAACATATGCCAGGAACCTATAATTATAATTATACATTAAGTTTTATGAATAACTAGAATATCCAATAGCTCTACAAAGTGTTTAAATCAGAGGAACACATTATTCAAATTTGCTTTTAGCTAAAAGCATTTATTAAGTTATTTTATTAGCCTGATCTTAGGGTGGGAAATGAGAAATGATAGCAGATATATTCCCTCCAGAAGTTCAAAATATGAGAGTACATTGATGTAAATATCCACAAAGAACTACTAAAGAAGCACTGAGCAAGTCGAAGAGTGTCTTACTAGCTGAGTGCCTTATGCAAGGAGGGATCTCAGAAAACACTTCCTCAATTTTTGGGAAAATAAGAGAATGGTGACATAAAATTGTGTCCTGAGCTATCCTTATTTGGAGGAGTGATGTCAATAAGAATTACTCACATTTCTTCAAGAATTTCCAGAAGGGTTCATGGAGAATGGGAAACTTTAATCACAAAAGAGGTGTTTTTAAAATTGCATGTTTAATTAAGTAGAGCTATTTATTATCAACAATGATACCACTCTGACCATTCCCCCTTCAGGTTAATTAAAATTTTTTACATCCTTTATAAAATGTTAAGCCCAGAATTGATCACAGCTTTGTAAATGTCTTAATCAAATCTCATACACTTACTCAGTGGATTCGTTTTTGAAACTAGGAAAAGGTCTTTTAAAGAGATCTATGTTTGTAACTTCATTGACAGCTTTTTTTTTTTTAATGTGGTTGTCCATTTTCATCTGGACATAGATTTAATTTCATCAGGGAGGAACCATGTCCCTTTTATGATCTCACAGAACTTTCAACATTTTATGACTCCTACAATCCCTGGCGTTAAATCTGGAAATCAAGTTAGAGATCAAATGGTGAAGGACAAAACAGGTGTGAGAGTGACTTGTGGTATTTATGTCTGAATAAAGACAAAAACAATTTAATAAACTAAAACATAAATGAGAGTTCTTGATTTATAATCTAATATTATTTGTAATGCATAAAATTGCTGAAGTACTGATTAATAATGTGTGGCACAGTTGACAGATTCAATGTCATAAAGATTCTTAGATGTAAAGATGCCTCAACTGACTCTACTCAGGTTGGGTTGGCTTCTTGTTCACTTCTCTACCCTGAGGCTTTCAAACAGGGCAGAGTAAGATGGGGGAGGTAACTCTTTTTCTCTACTAATACCTACTCATATAATCTTATTTCAAAAACTGGCCAGTACAATTGGATTGACAGAAAAAAAAAAATAGGCCTTGTCCATTTATTCAGAAGTTTCTTTCAAAACTATTTAAAAATTTTATTGGCTTAACATGGATTTTACTTTATCAGAATTTAGATGTAGCAATGAATTAAATCTTAAAGGAGCTGTAGAATTCCTTTAAGAAGTTATTGTTTGCTTTCCATTGCAGCAATGTCTGCAATACTGCTTTTTTTTTTTTTTAATGAGTTCTAGAGACAATTTGCTGAGACTGTAAAAATGATGCCAGAAGGCAAGTTTTTGGTTAGTGCAATAGTTTCATTTTGTTATTGAAAATGGGATAAGTCATGATTTATTCTCTGCCTCCTTTGGAAGGTAAAAAATATGCTAATGCTAAGAAAATCATTATGTTTTCTATTTCAAGATTGATTTCATAAGAAATTTATCTATCAGATTTATGATGTTTTATCTTTAGCCACAATAAATACAAGCTTAAAAAAATAAATAAAACTCTTAGTTTTATATACGTAACTTTTATAATATATATATATAAACTTAGGAATAACTTCTATCAGTATCCCTCATTATTGTCACATGATTTTGAACTTCTGGACCAATATAATTCAGCTGAAATAATCAAGAAAATTAATATACACTTATATTCTCAAATTTGTTTCTTTAGAAGGAAGTGAAAATAGACTCTGTGAAAGAAACATAACAGTGTTGCTAAATCTTATTGAAAACCTCTATTTATCTCTATAGATGTTCCATATAAAGAAATCTTAAATAATTAAACATAATATAATTGATAAAACTGACATGTTAGTCTGGAGGTGTTTGTCACCTATAGGCAAAATAGGCTTTTAAATATTAATATAAAATTTATTGTGTTTAGATGAACATAACCATAATCAAATAATTTTATTCAGTATTGGGTGGTTCTAGTTATTTAAAATAATAAAAAGCTACATAAGCAAGAACCCTTTTAGAATGTTGTAAGCATTAGTATAGACATATATTTATACATAGTTTATTTAATTTATTTTCTGTACATAGTTTATTTAATTAATTGATGTAGGTAACTTAATGCTTAACTGAGCAATAATTAAACATCATTGTGCCTGTAATCCCACCACTTTGGGAGGCCAATTCAGGTGGATCACAAGGTCGGGAGATAGAGACCATCCTAGCCAACATGATGAAACCCCGTCTCTACTAAAAATACAAAAAGTAGCTGGATGTGGGAGCGCGTGCTTGTAATCTCAGCTACTCGGGAGGCTGAGGCAAGAAAGTCTCTTGAATCACGAGTTGGAGGTTGCAGTGAGCTGAGATCATGCCACTGCACTCCAGCCTGGCAACAGAGTGAGACTCCGGCTCAAAAAAAAAAAAGGAAAAATTCATTGTGTATGGTGAGTAAAGAGAAGTGTAATTTAATATATTTTTTTAAATTTTAGCTTGGCTTTAAATTTTGAAATTAATGATTCCTGACTTGCATAATATATTTGGTAGCTATCTTTCACATTCATATGCTAATCAAATCAAACTAGGAGTATAAGGTAAACGATTACTTTTTAGATTAATGTAGACTACAAGCAACATTTAGCCTATACAACTTATGCATTAATGTGGCTTGCTGTTGACCATCATAATCACCTCTCCCTTCCCTAGTTAGGAACTTATGTTTATTAGTTTCTGTTTTACAACTTAAATTTTTCATGTGCCCTAAGAACTTGGTATACAGTGTGCAATACTTAACAATAAATTAGAATCAACTAGAGTCATATTTTTGGTTTTATACTGTGTAAACACATAAAATGCCATTTGGATGAGAGTTGGACATATCTTTGTTTTAAAAATTTCATTGTTTTGTTTGTCCCAGAAATACTTTAAAGTATAAATTAATTCAATTTTTTGTAGCATTTAACTTTATTCCATTTAAAAATCATACATTAAGTGCAAAGAATGTTTATAACATTCTTTGGCTTTATAACAAAACACTATACTAATGTATACATGTGTTTTAGTTGATGGATGAGTTTTTTAAATTTATTATTATATATATATATATGCACTGTTTTTCCATCAAATTAAAGCAATCTGCTTATATGGTAGCTAGTTCAATTTTGATGTTTCCACTTTGTGTTTGTGCACTGAAATAAACCGTAGTTTGCTTTAAGAAAAAAACAGTTTGTAAGTATACTTTAAACATGTTTAAATGCAAACCATGAAATTTCTATGAACTCTTTCGTTCTTACTATGAAAGCCATACATTTACCCATTAGCTATATGGTTTTCTTTTTTTGCTACATTTCTGAATGTAAGATAAACATTTGCATTTTGCAGAACTTTATTAAAATGATTACCTGAGAATAAATTTTATAAATTTTCTAAAGTTAAATTTTCTGTAATTTATATGTCCAGCAGTCAGTATTTACATTGAAATTAAATTCCATTTTCAACACATTGAATTCCCAAATTAGTTACCTCAATCAAAAGGCCAGTTTTTAAAATAAACATCAGAAGTTTCCTTATAAAAGGGCACATCTATTCACTGGAATGGCTATCTTCAGGAAGGCAAGCTCAAAGAGTGTTTGACTGAATAATAAGAATATGCCTGACAATGGGACTTGGCATGGATAACTGTTAAACCATTCATCTCCTTCAGTTCTCTGTCATTTCTCTCTAAGTGTTTGCTCCCTGTGGATCTATACAGTGGGATAACAGAGTCATAGAAGTATTTTTAAGCACTCCAATTTCATAGTGTAGACTTGACGGACAGAATAAAATTTATTCCTCCAGCTGTTCAAGAATGAGGGCAAGGGGTATATAAAAAGGGAAATGAAGGCAAGACAGACTTGGATCTCAATAAATGTTGCAAACTTAATGTACTTTTACCTCTAAATCCTTTTCCTTACCTCCCAAATTTAATTCCATCAAAGTGTCCTTATATTTTATCCTTGCTTCTAACCCATCATATTCCAGCCACCAAAGGTGTAGGATTCCACACAATGTCATGAATTTACATACACATACACACAAATCCAAGCTGAGCCTTTGGTGCCATGAAAAAAGAATTTAAACATATTAAAATGTAAAAGTAAATATATTATCTGAGGTATGGCTAGAAAAAAAAAGTAAAAAAGTGCAGTGAATAGGAAAAATGTAAGAGTTCCACATTACAAATTAGCTATAAACACATTTGTAATTCATAAACAGCATAAAATGATTGCTTATGTCATATTAATTAAAATAATAAAAGTAAGAAAATAACGCTCAATGCAGAGGTACTTTTAAGAAAACAAAACAAAAAACAAAAGTTAACAAAATATTTTATCTGCATCAAAATATTCTTTGGAAACCAAAAATAAAAAATGTTTCATGTATGTTCTTTCAGGTTGATCTGTAAAAGTCAGAAAAATACATAGCCCATGTTATTTAACTTTCCAAAAATACAAAGTTCTAAATATCCCTTAAGCATAAAGCAAAAGGCTTTATGTCTTGCTGAACTGAAGCAATGTGCTCCCTGTATTAGAAAAAGAATTCCAGTTTTCTTCCTATCAAAATACATTTTGTTTCCATCACACTGAAACAAATGATGTGACTTCAACACAGTGTAAGTATAGTCGAAGCTGTGTCCAGAAATGTTTCTTCAGAACTCTGAAGACACCTATAGAAACTCTTGAGGGGAAAGAATGATTTCTCACAAGGCCAAGAGGAATATTATCCAAAGCGAAACTTGAGTCTGTATTTCACTGTGTTGGGAGTTTTCCGAGGTGCCGAAAGGGGAACCTTTGGCTTGATAGGGCTAGGTGGCTTTTTTTTTTCAGGAACAGTCACCGTGAAAGAGAGTTCTGGCTGCTCGGAATGCTTGAATCTTGGCAGAAAATGGGTAGAGATGTGCTGGGGTTTCACCCGGGGGCTGCACCCTCGTTTGGCTTTTCCTCTTTTATTCAGGGCTACGTACCACTCCCGCCCTGTTTTTTCAGTTCTGTGTATTGCTGAGGCGTAAGTATTATAGCTGTTTTCTTGAAAACGCTCCCTGAACTTGCAGTCATCTGTGAACTTGGCCTAGGGAGGAGAAAAAAAAGGAAATTCAAGTTGAGGCAATATTTTCAGTATGTAATAATATATAAGAGCTTGTAGAAAAAAAAAAGAATTTTGTTGATGTCAGTGCCTTCTACTCCATTTCCCTTTATAAAGATATATTTGCTTATTTTAAAGTTGCTTTAAAATTACTACTTTTGTATCTATATTTCTACTTCATTTATCTTTGTATCACATTTCTGTTCACTACCTACTTGGTGACACTAATATCAATGAATATAAAAATAACCAGAACCCTTGATACATTTAAACCCGTTACTATTGTTTAAATACTTTGAAACTTATAGTCACAAATCTTTTAACATACTGTTTTTCTTCCTAACTCACCAAGAAAATAAATAGAACTATACTATTAAGAAACAATTGCCTGGTAAAATATAAATTCCTGTTCAGAGAAACAGGGTCAAAATGATTCCTTTGAAACAAGCATGCATTTCTTCAATATTATCAGTGTGATTCATGCCGCTGAGAGAGAAGTAGCAAACAGCCCCCATTAATATTGCCCGTGTTAGAGATGTTTAGGGAAAAAAAGATATCTTTATTCAGGCAATACAGGAAAGTATATCTGACTCCAGGAAGGAAAAAAGTCATTGAAGTCACTAACAATACTTTGTCCAGATCTTACACACACACACAAAAATCTGGCCTTGAAATACTTACAGAATAGTGGAAAAGCAGACAAGTAGACATCCGTCATGGTGCAGCTTGATAAATGGAATTATGACAGCGGTATGCAGAGGGTACAATGACAGCATAGAGGAAGGGCATCTAAGAGGGTGGAGGTGGCCAAGAAGAGGGCAGAAAAGTCTTCCTATAAAAGGTGACATTTGAGCTGAGTTTTCAAGTACAACTAGGCATTAGGGAGGCAGGCAAAATAAGAAAGGATTTTCAGGGAGAAGGAACAGTGTGTTCAAAGGTCAGCATGACACTTTCAAATACCTGTAAGTAGTTCAGCCTGACCTCTACTTGAGATGTATGTGAGAAGTAAGGAGATGAGCCTGCCAATGTAGGTCACCACCAGCTCTGAAAGGGCTTAGTTAGCCATGTTGTGAAATCTGAAGGAATTTGTGGGAGAATGGGGGAAGAGTGTGAACTTGGAGTCAGACATTCAATCAAAAACCATTTCTGCCAATTAAGCTCTTAGCCTTAGCTTCCTTATCCATAAAACTTATACCAATAGAGCTATTATAATAATCCAGATATTTTTCTAGGGAGGAATCTGTAGCTTTCACCAAACTTGAAAGAGTCCATAACCCCCAAAGAAATAAGAATTCCCGTACTAGTTCAGACTACTAGGTTTTATAATTTCAAGGAGTACTATTTACACAGAATTCCTGTGTTTGAGAATATAAAATATTTTGTCCCCTATATATAAAAGCACTAAAAGTTACATACTTCTATGTCAAATCAAGAAGATTTATACAGGAATAAACTGGCCTTTTTCCCCTTACTTTTTCAATAATGCCAAACTTTTCTTTGGAATACTGATCATAACACTGAAATCTAAATATCTGAATATTGCAAGGCAATCTACATAGATCCACTGTTTTAAATCCACATGGAATTTTTGAGTAGTGCAAGGTACTGACAGTATTAGAAGTCAACTAATATCAGAGAATTTCCAACCGCACATTAACTTTATGTATAATAGTTTACTGGAGTTACTTATATTTAAGTGTAGTTCAGTCAACAAAGTTCTATTTGGGGGTTATGAAGCCATATATGTAGATCTTCGACAAGTCTACTAGTGAATCTCTGGATATGATCTCAAGCAGGCTGAAGACAGGTGTTTTTTGTTTGTTTGTTTTGTTTTGTTTTTGTTTTTTCTTAAGACAGAGTCTCACTCTGTGGGCCAGGCTGGAGTGCAGTGGCACAATCTCTGCTCACTGCAACCTCTGTCTCCTGGGCTCAAGCAATTCTCCTGCCTCAGCCTCTCAAGTAGCTGGGATTACAGGCACACACCACCATGCCCAGCTAATTTTTGTATTTTTAATAGAGACAGGGTTTTACCATGTTGGCCAGGCTGGTCTCGAACTCCTGACCTCAGATAATCCACCTGCCTTGGCCTCCCAAAGTGCTGGGATTATAGCTGAAGGCAGGTATTTTAAAGAATCACCACCTAGGTGTGGCATCCCTCTCACCCTGTCTTACAATACACCTTGCCAGCCTGTGTTTAGGCCAGGACTGCTATGCTGACATCAGTTTTGAAGATCACACATTGACTACTCCTGTGTTTTATTAGAAAGACTTGCTTACAAATTCATTGTAGATTTGTCTACAGCTGCTTAGTTCTTAAAAGGTCTTTCCCATTTAAGTAGATAATCCCAATATATTGTTTTAAAATAAAAGCTATAGACATCTGGAATGTTTCTGGCTCTATAAAAGGATAAGAATTTAAGGAAGTTGTGAAACATTTCATTTAAAAAAGTATCATCAGGTATGTTTACCTTGTCTCAGGTTTTTTTTTTTTCTTAAAATGAAATTGAATGGCATTTTTGAAAATGTATAATACATTATGCCTTGACCTGACTTCTACCTCTGTTTCACAAAAACAGCGGTGATTGCTTTAGTCAATTTTGACAGTTAGGTTTTTAAAATGTACTACATTATTTAATATTTTCCCCCAACAGTGTTCAAGAAAATAAAGAAAGAACATGTCATTTTTAAATTGATGCAGATGACAGGCACACATAGGCATGCACAGGTGCATGTACAGACACACTCCACAGCATTTTCTTTAAAAGAAATCTATATCATTTCCATTTTCGAGTCTTTCATTTGAGTGAAACCAACTGCCCCACCCCCTAAAATTATTTCATCTAAAATCTTTCTGTTTTCCTCCTCAAGATTCACATTCTAAAGTTCTTTCTCATGAGGAGCCCTTTAAGGAGATGGCTATTCGGACTTTAGATTTTTCAAAGGTCACCTAACTGTTACCCAGCGTAGAAATGTCTAGAGTTCTAAGAACCCACACACTACACACAGCCCGTCAGCCATCCAAATCCTACATTCTACGTTAATATGGGAGTAAATGCAATCAGACTGGTTTGGCTTTCTAAATTGACTTTTAATTTAATGTTTTGTTTAAAAAATTCTTCCAGCTATGATGGAACACAGAATCATTTGAAACAAATATTTCAGTGAATTTATATATCTTGAAGGATTGACTATTTCTGTTAATATTCCAGGTCATACTCAGACAAGATGATGACCCTAAGCAGGTCATAGGTCTTAGCTACAGATAGTGAAATACATACGTTTACCGTTAGAAAATTTTGGATAATAAATTTTCCAGGCCGATTTTTATTTTTTAAATCTTCTTTTAACTATAAGAAATGCTTTAATAAAATATACACCTTTAAAATAATAGGAGCCAGGTGCGGTGGCTCACACATGTAATCCCAGCACTTTCACAGGCCAAGGCAGGCAGATCACAATGTCAAGATACTCAGACCATCCTGGCCAAAACGGTGAAAACCGCACAAAATAATAGAACTGCATTATTTTTTTTAGAAAAAGAGAAAAAACTGAAGTTGACAAACAGACTTTTTCTATAGTTAAGAGTATGAAGCAGAGAGGTGAATCAAAATTCAGATAAGTTGCTGAAATCGAGATTCCTTCATTTAATTGTTTTACTACCATCAGCCACTACAATGAAAGCAATTGTTTAAATATTTGTTTTTTTTAAATGCTATCTTTGTTTTATATTTATTTTTCACTAATTTATTCCACAGATGTTTTATTGACTGTTTATCATTTGCTAGGCACTGTGCTAGGTGCCACTTTTACAGTGGAAATCAATATTGGCATGGCCCTGCCGATATCGTTAATGTAATTTAAGTTTTTGTTGACTTAAATTACATTAAAATTTCTTTCATTTCTCCTAGATCTGGCAAGAATAAAAACAAGTTACATTCAACAAGCCATAATTGCAAAACTAAAATGACATGTTTATAATAGG